TATATATATATATATATATATATATATATCTTTTTTCTATATTTCCATTGGTCATTTTAATAGGTTAATCTGAGCAAATCATTCTGTAAATATGTTTCAGGGCTACCGGGTGGTTAAGATAAGAAATGACTCCTTCGTAGAAGAAAATAAAAACTTGATCGAAAATAGTTTATTTTTGGTGTAATTCCAAGTAGTATTTATCAAAACAATCGAAACCAAGTGAAACGCTAAATAACTCATATATATATATATATATATATATATATATATATATATATATATATATATATATTTATATATTATATATATATATATATATATATAGCGTTTATATATATATATACTTAGCGTTTATATATATATATATATATATATATATATATATATATGAGTTACTTAGCGTTTATATATATATATATATATATATAGGAAAACTTACCTTAGCCGACGCGTTAGGCATTTTTGTGACAAGTATTTATATACAAGAGCAACAATTTTATTGGTTTTCCCAAGTATTTTGATATAGGAATGCTCATAAATTTACAACAGTTGAACAGAAAATCAGGCAAATACATGGATGTGAAGTGGTAGAGTTCAGTGCATAATAAACTAAATTGTGTAGGATATATATATATAGTTTGAGTTTTGTAAATTGTTGCCATTTTACATTGTTAATTTCGTACATGTGTGTTACGCGTTGACTTTGTTGACTGCACAGTATAGTAGGGTCCGGTGGGCACCGTCTGTGAGAAAGAGAGCATCATGCCGAAATACATTCCGTCAGAAACTTAGAAACAGCATGCTGTAATGCTTGGCATTCGCACCAGAAGCTCCAATACGAACATTTAAGAGTGTTTGTGTGTCAATATGAGGACAATGCAGAAGATTCTGAAAGAATTGGATGAGTGTAATGGTGATTACCATGGTACGACACACCAGAAATCTCACTCTGATCGTTTTGATAAGAAAAGGACTCTCAAATTTGTTGGTGAGGATCTTATACTCAACACGGAACGTATTGAGGAGGTAGTGCAGTTCTGGGTCAATAAGGTGGCTGCTGGAAGACCCTATGTTTGGCAAAAGGACTTTGCAACATGCCGCACAAGTAGGAGAAACCATTTATGGCTATGAGACAATTTCTGCGACCACATCATTCCTTACAACTGAGCGCTTAACTTGCCACACTGCACCTTCATTGATTATTATATGGCGTGGAGCATGTGAGCGAGAGAACAAAACTCCTTTTAATACCAAAGACGAACCGACGGCAAGGATTATGTCATAATTCAGCAACTTAAAAAAGGAGACCGCGCAGTCGTCTGGTGGCTATAGTTGAAACCAATGGCGATTTAATCAAATAAATTTACTCTTAAGTAATTCAAAACATTTTTGTCATTTTGTTAAATATAACTGTTAAAATGAGATGGCAGTGTCTTTTTCATTTTTGCATAATTTAGACGACTATTTATCAATCGCACCGTGCGTATATATATATATATATATATATATATATATATATATATATATATATATATATATATGTGCGTGTGTGTGTGTGTGTGTGTGTGTGTGTGCGCGCGAGCGTGTTTTGTGTGTTACGTCCTATAGTTTGGGGAAAAAACGTAGATTTATAGCTTTACCAAGGGTAATTGCACACAAGTATATATACCGAATCAAACTGGAACTCTCCAATTTCCAATGACGAGTCATTATCAATTACATCTTCTAATCCAAGGGGTACGTCCAAACGGTCACCCATCTAATTAATGACCAGGCTCGATGAAGCGGCATTTCAAAGTGATATGGCCGTAAATATGTATGTATGTATGAATGTCCCTAGTTGTAACCCGAGTTACACGCGTGCTTCAAACATCATAAGCATTCAGATCATCGGATTAGGTTTAGGGATGCACTTTTCTTGGAATTCATGTTGTCAAGAGTGTTTTGGTCTGTCCATATAATGAAGGCGTACTTCACTTTTCTTTACAGTGTACATAGGTGTTTGCCTTTAGCTATTTTTCTTTTTTAATCCTTACTGCCCTTCATCGTGATTATATTTTGTTTGAGGGCATTTAGGTCTTTTGCCAAGTTTCTTCCTCCAACGTTTTTGCTTTTTTTCTTTAACATATATATATATATATATATATATATATATATATATATATATATATATATATATATATATATATATTAACTTACTTAATGGAAAATTTCAAACGGTGGGATTATGTGTTCTGTCCTGTAGAATATCCCTGGCAAGTGCCTAGGTTTGAACAGCGATCCAATGAGCTAGGGGATAATGAACAGTTTATCTCAGCCAGAAGAATAAGTTTTCTACTCATCAAAAAAAAAAAAAAAAATGGAAGAGAAGGAGAAAGTAAAGAAAAAATCTATACCATTCAATGATTGGTGAGTGAATCGATGTCAAATAATCAATGGCTAAATCAAACATGGAGCTGAGAAAGAACGGATAGATAACAGGTCTTACTGGATAAGCCTAACAACAACAATGAATAATCCATTTTATGATCTATTGTAAGAATTGGGTTCATTATTTTCGAAAAGACAAACTCTAACGCCGCCATAATTTAAAATCCCTTCACTCATTTTCCTTGTTTTTAAACGCTATATCACATCTGGAAATAGGAGGTTGTTTATCATATTATAAATAGATACATAGAAGTATATAATTATAGATATTTTTTTTTAAATTTCGGATATATAAATACTAACATCACCTTCTAAGAAAAAAATATCATCAAAAAGAATAATCATATATTGTACAGTTAGGGAAAACAACGTTGGCAATATCAGAAAGCAATTAATAAGAGGACAAAAAACAGAATGAATGTCACAAAATAAATTTGAGAAAAATTAAAAAAGCTAATAAGCAAGATAATTGCATTGACCAATAAAAACAGAAGAAGTTAAAAAAATCATTTGATTTGTTTTGAATTTAAACACCGATACAAAATTAAGATATATTAAGAACGCTAGTCAAAGCTATGACATCAAAACTTTCACTTTTAAATCAGAACCATAAAATAAAATGTATGAGTTGAATGAGTAAATATATGGAAAGAGATATCTCAATTATAATTTTTACTGCTGCTGGTTTAGCAACATTGGATTATTCTGATGGTTGGGCTGCCATCTTCATTAATATCCTCAGCCAACACAACTTCCTTACACGTCGAAATGCGCAAAATGTTTTAACATGTTTTATATGTCTTTTCAAAGTTGATGGTGTTTTATAGAATGACTTTAATTTCTTGGACAATATATTTTTGCGTTATACACGTCAGCGCAAAAAACAAAACTTTAAGTTAAGGTGTATATTCAGGCAAGACAATACATTTTCACATTCTGTAAGTGACACTTTTCTATATATGGTCGGAAAAAAAGATCTCCAAATATCCAATATAATAGAAGGTTCTTTATCCTCTGCAAATATTCGTCAACTATGAGAAATCTGGTCGATCTTTTAAATAGATGTGTATAGAAATATAAAAAAATATTCACGCTAAGATATTTCTGAAACAATTCAAGTTTAAGCAGTGACATAAATGTTGAAAAGATTGAAAATTCATCAAAATTAATACTGAAAAATGGATAAACAGTATGAAGAGTTAAAGATTCGATATTACTAATCCATAACGTTTCGGCCATTGTACACTCCGGCCTTCTTGAAGAAGGCCGGAGTGTACAACGACCGAAACATCGTAAATATGACAATAAAGATGAGGACAACAGTCCGAACAAAATAAATATTATAAATAGTTACAATACCTCATCTCAGAAATAGAGACAGTCTATATTACCATGTAAAATAATAAAATATTAACCTAATTTCCAAGGTAAAATACGCATGTTTTTTTCTAAGAAATAATAAACAGAATTAGTGGTGCGTATTATGCACAGGTATAAAGAAATCTTTAAAATTTGCATTTCATAGGTCGATTTCAGTTGCGAAGTGACTACTCACCAAAAACATACGACAATTTCACACTAACATTCGGCGATTACGACCCCATAATGATGTCAAATACAAGCATATTTACAAATGTAAAATAAAATAAGAATTATCATAAAACTAAATTAGAATAATATTATTCTATGTTTAAAATCATTTTCTTAATAAGAGTAGAAAACACTGGTCGTAATGAAATTGGAGAGGTACAATTTATAGGGTTTGGTTACTAAACAAGGGGTGCGTATTATGCGTGAGAAGAAGCATTTCCCCCCACTTTCAGCACAATTTTAGGTGTGGGTATTATGGATGAGAGCGTATTATACATGGGGAATTACGGTAATTAGACATGTGTAATAATCTGCTCATTAAATATATTCCTATTATTTATATCATTTGGGCTTATTTATAGTTAAATTTTTTGTTACTCTTTGCAAAACAGACAATCCTAAAATGCAATCAATGTTTTTAATACAGAAACATTTTAAGAGCTGAAACTCACATGATATAATGATTATATAAATAGACTTATATCTGAAAAATCTTACAACGATTGGTTAATACCAATTTTATTGTAAGAATATAGACCTGTATAATAAAATCTGATAGAGTGTCTATGTATTTTTTCATGAATCTCTTCCTTTGTAATATTCACTTGTAACAGTTTTCTGCTTCATTGAAAACAGAGGCATCCTTTTATTCTGGTGTCGAGATATCATGGTTAAAATGAGAAAGAGACGAAGGTAAACATCACGAAATCTAAAACAATAAATCAAATAAAAAAAGCAGAAATGAATAAATCAAAAACCCGACAAACACAATTATGGAAAAAAGGAGAAAGATTTTAGATCGAAGCTGGCGAAAATGAAATTGATGACGACTGTAATTGAAATGAACATAATTAACTATAAATTTAAGATGGTTTGGATGTGGTTGGAGCGGTGAATAAAGTTTCGGGAGTGGCTGGGAAGAGACAGGAGACAAAACACTAACACACGTATCTAGAAAAAGAGAAACGTATGAATAAAACAACGAAAAATGTTTGGAGAGATGGGGAGAGGGAAAAGAAACAATGGAAAGGATAAGAGAGGAGATAGGGTTATAAAGGAAGAAAGTGTGAAGATGATGGAGAAATAAAAGACGAAGCAGAGAATAGGAAGAAAGAGAAAGAAGAAGGAAAGAGGGGACAGAGAAAAAGGTGTGGATGACAAGGAGAATGAGAGAAAGAGAGAGAGAGAAAGAAAGTGAGGTTCATTTGAAGTGGATTGAATAAATATACGTAAAACTTTTCATGCATAAAAACGTTCACATAAACACGTCTCCGACGGGAATGCATCCATGTTCTACAGAAATTTAGTGTTTTTTTTTTTAACATGTGTATCAATAACGGAAACTTTTGCCGCCATATTCATGTTTGGCATGTGGCAGATTTTGAATGCCAAATGATGTATGAAATACATCAGAATACGAAACAAGAAAAAAACAAAAACAAAAAAGGAACCTATTTTCCAGCATATAATATTCCAATGTGATGTCGGATTAGGATGAGGACATATATAATTCAAGCTATTTGTATTTTTTATATTATTCGCCACACGGTATCTAAACGACCTTCCGCGAGTTTTGAATTCAGAGTTGTCCTTCTGCTAGACTAGTTGCCATCCAAGGATATAGAACCCAGTCTGCCCTGCTATTTAACCGTAGCTGGAGGGAGAATATATATATGTGTGTGAGCGTGTGTACAAGAGAATCTAATGAAAATGAATAACAAGTATATTGCACTAATGCATTATACACGATACATCACTGATTTTAAGCAACTCCTGTTCAGACATGTTCATTAGCGTAGATAAAATTACGAGCCGACATATATTTATTCACAGTCCGTATTCAGTAAAATATTATATTTGAATATCTATCTATCTATCTGTCGATCTATCTATCTGTCGATCTATCTATGCAGCACAATCAGTTCTGATCTCCAGTCACTTTCTCACCACTGTGACGGGGTTCCCTCTGCCTTTTCTACAAATAATTTCATGCTAACTGCTCGGACGAGTTTGTTTCCCTGGTGACCCAACTAACAACTAGGAATCGCCGCTTTATTTCTGACCTACCAGATATAATTTCTCCTCTAATAGATTTTTTCTCATACTTCAAACCTGTGGAAATCCTTTCCGATTTCTTGCTTCCCTGATAACTACAATCTTCAAAAATTTAAAGGCAGCGTCAATCGACAACTTTTGTCCTTTTAAAGCTTGTTCCTTTTATTTGCCATTTACTCAATCCTCCCCATTTTCAATCTTCTCATCCCCCCTTTCACTTTTTATAACCATCTCTGTTCTAATGGCGACGTCGCCTTGATTGTAATAATATATTTGTGTGTGTGTGTGTTTGTGTGTGTGTGTGTATTAAAGTACGCTCAAAAAGTATTTTATGAAATTCTTAATATTGCTGACTTTAATTATGGTTTCTGTAAGTTTAGCGACTCAAATGACAAGTTGTGTTGATATATATCAAATTATAATCTTCTTATTTCCCATGAAAAAAACGTTCTGGGGAAACATTCTCCCGGAGAATTGCATTCAAAAGTGACGGTTGGTGGATAGCGATCCCAACATGACAGTAGACAGATTTGTCCTTCTCTTTGATCTTCCACATTAAGCCAGTCGTATGACAACCTACGTCTGTGGAAAGTAGAATATAAAGATTTGTTTTTCGCTAACTTTCACCTAGTCTAGAAAAGATTGATACAGATTGTGGAATAGAAGCGATCTTTAAACTTATACTATCATTGGATTCTGAAACTAACTTCATTTCTATAGCGGGGTGTCTACATTGATTTCTATGAAACTTCTACAAGTCTGGAACATTATCATATGTATGAGATATAAGTAATATATAAGTAATTGTTTGTGAGACTAACTCGTTAAGCACTATATAACGGAATCTTAGACATTGTTACATATGTTCAAACGAGCAGACATATTCGAATTTGTTTACATATTTACTGAAAGCCATTGAAGAAGATAGCTAGAAAATTGTTAATGCATGAGAACATGTGGAAAAGGTTTTAAGGAAAACTAGATGTGATTTAACTCGTTAGGATGCAGACGACGAAACGAAAAAAAACATTTGGAAAACTCGAAATGTGTCGCATTAAAAGAGTGTTGATAAGAAAGGTTATACAGAGAAATGAAAGTCGTTTGAAAGAAGGAAGAATTTGAAATATAGAATGAATTACCACAGGAAAATCGAAAATCAAAAAAAGGAGGAGATGTAAATGTACAAAGAAATACTGGAAAGTAAGAAAGAAAGAAAGAAAGAAAGAAAGAAAGAAAGAAAGAAAGAAAAGAAACGAAAAGGGTGGAAATATAAGGGATGGGAGAAAAAGAAAGAAGTCAAAACATCTTCAGGGAAAATGATGAATTGAATATTATAACGATTCGGAAATAAAAATAAAACTGTAACAATGTTTAAAAACATAAGTAGAATCAAGTTGAAACGAATACGGAGCTGCTGTTCTTAAATAGAGCAATAAAATAAAAAAAAAGTAAATAGTAAGCAATTGCTGATTGAATGCGCAGACAGGAAAAAAGACAACATAAAAGAAATTATAAAAGCGAAAATGAAATTTACAAGTGAAACAAAAATTGAAATAATAAAAAAAACAGATTGTTATTAATGTTATAAAAATGCAATAATTTTTTAATTTCTAATTTCTCAGCGTTTCGTTTTAATTTTCAAAGAATAAAGAAAAATCAATTTGCTTTTTTATCTACGTTTCTTTTACCTTATAATATTAGCTTTATTTTTAAATATATTCTTTTTTAAGCAACGGTTTCATTGGATTGTAGACGCTCACGCAATACATTTGCACCAAGGTGATTAAAAAGAATGAGTTCTGGGAAAATAACATTAAAAAGAACAGATTTCTTTTTGTTTTTAATAAAATCATTAATATGTCGGATGAAAATCATAATTACTACATTAAGAAAGACGTGCAAAACGTAAATAATTAAGGCGTTACTAAACAAAGTAAACACGTTGCGATAACAACGATTCTGAAAGATAATAAGAATCGGAGTAATAATTAATTCATATTGATCAATTGATAATAACCACGAACAGAAGAATCTCAATAATAATAATAATAATAATAATAATACGAAGAAGAAGAAGAAGAAAGGAAGAAGAAAAAGGAAGAAGAGGTAAAATCCTAATTGTAATAATTTAACAAAGACGACAAAAAAAAAATGAAAACTGACAAAAAATAATTCTTGTTGTAGATACGATCTAAATTTTACTGTAAGGTTTACCAAATCAATCGTTATAAAAAAGTGAAGACTAAATGCTTTGTGAATGTTTCGACCTTTTATCCAAATTATCATCAGATTACTTTGACTATATGACAAATAAGAATTAATCCGAAATAATGACGACAACAGATTAATAATAATAATGATAATAATAATAATAATAATAATAATAATGGATAAGAAGTGGAGGTATGATTAAATTGTTGATATTATTTACTGGAACCTAAGTAATTATTGTGAGACCGGAACTACCTACACAATAGACTCTTCCAGGTCTATATTAAATATGCGACACAACACACTAGAGTGACATAGAGAGAGACACAGAGAGCCGCGTACGACTACCAGTATTTGACACTAACATATAGTAAGCTCCGCTTACACTATCTCTGTAACCTGTTGTTAATATATCTTTCTTACATCTAATCCGTGTTCCGTGTTTTCCTTCTGTGGTCCCAACTTTGGCCCCACATCAGTAATGTTTACGGGTTTGAGCGTAATAACTTTTAATATGAACATGTGATCACAAAGGAGAAAGTGCTGAACAATAGCAAAATTAAAATCCTTTAGAATATTTCAATATAGTGATTTTCATCAGTCGATGAAAATAAACCAGTTATAGTGGTGCTGGTCAAATGGCAAAAGACGTGCAAGCTGATTGATATCTCCTGATCCTTTGACATAAAGGGGACATAAAGAGAAGAGAGAATGGACAACTACAATAGTCTAAAGCATGAAATTCTGAATGAAAAATTTAGAAGGACAAATTTGATGAGTACTAGTGATGAGTGGAGCAATGTGGTGAAAAAATAGATTGTGATATGATAGATAGGTTTGATGGCTAGAATCATGCTTAATAACTGAGCAGTGACGAGGAGCACACTCTTTTGAAATTTTTGTCTTTCTAATTCGCATTTGCTTAGCAAATGAACCTTCCAAAAGCTAAGCAAAGTATAAAGCAACAGGAATATTTTGTTAGAAACAAAATTTAATATATCATTTTTCCTCTATGGAAGTGAATAATGTAAAATCTCCTCACATATGAAGAAGAGACTTTAGGCAACAGAAATGTGTTTCTGCAGAAGAACTCTGAGAATACCATGGACTGAATATCTGAGTAAAGACGAAGTTTTAGGGTCGACGGAAACAAAAAGTAGCCTTATACCTTGAATGATAAAGAGAGAGATTCCATATGTAGGAAAGAGAATAAGGAAAGAGTTTTTGGATAATTTAACACACACCGGACATATTAGACAGAGAAAAGCACTGAGTAGATTAGCTAACAAGCTTGTGTTAATGGTTGGCGAAACAGAAATGCACTGTGATAAAGCAATGACAAACAGTTCAACGAATTACAAAGAATAGTAAGTTGTCGACTTGCCATGATCGCTAACGTTTTGAATGGACACGACATATAGAAGAAGAAGAAGAAGAAGAAGAAGAAGTTGATGCATTTTCCACCCCTTTCTTGAGCAAAGAAAGAAGATTTATTGGAACTTCTATTACTGTGCTTTTCATGCCCCATACTATTTTAATATCTAAATATGACTTAAATATGGGAAAAATTATTACTTTAGTTTTCAGCGCGGTGATTATTTCAGTGTGGGCAAGCAGGTCGCTGTCCAAACCAAGTCTAACTTTCTTGTCCGTCACTAGTCTACCATAACTTTTAGCCTTAATGTTTTTATCAGTTTGCATTGGTAAGTCCCAGAGAATCGTAGCTTCATCATTTACTGTTAAGTTTGATGTCAAATGTTCTTATCTTATTTGTCTTTGACTTTGATGTTAAAGTATTTTCAACGTGTCCACTCGTGATATTACTATCACGATTATTAATGTTGTTGTTGGAAATGTTTCGTACAAAAAATAAAAAATAAAAAAACTATTGTTACAAAACCTCAATGTCTGAAAATAATTATATTGAATAAATGACGATATTTTACGTTTGAAAAAATATCTGAATCCCAAAATCTGAACAACGTAAAAACGCGTCTAAAGGTCTATAAAATAAACTTCTAAATTATAAAGAACATCTATGACAAAGAATTAACCTTGTAAATTATATTGAAATAAAACAGGTAACGTATTACATATTTTTATTCTTCAAACTTCAAACTTTGTTTTTTTGTTAAATACATGAATAGAGATAAAATTAGGCAAATGAAGAAACTATATATATATATATATATATATATATATATAATGGATCGAAAATACTTAAAATGTATAGAGAATCCTTAAAAATCAATTCTGTCAGTTGATATAATATTATTAGTATTAATATAATAGGGAAAAAAAGGGGATAAAGACAAAGATTTCAATGTAAGTTTTTTTTAGGTGGGGAAGAGAAAGAGATAGACACATAAGGGGAAGAGAGAGAGGAAACGAAAGAAGTTAAGTCAGTCGACAGGGTGACCCAGAATATATATATATATATATATATATATATATATATATATATATATATATGATTTCAAATATAAATATGGGTCGGAAAATGTTTATGATTACAATTCCCAGCTGAATGTGTGTCGGAGAATCAAAGACAAGACAGGGTTGAATTGTTTCGAGAGGGAGGAGGGATCGGGTAAGAAAGTGGGGGGAATGGATTGCATTAGGCATAAGAATGTAAGGAATTTTCTGACTGATTGGCAAGGGAGGGGAACATTGGAATGAGATCAAGAAATATGAATTACGGACAGAAAGGTTTAAGATAGAAAAAATTGAATAAGAATAAAAAAGTAAAAACCTATCGAAGTGAAAGAAAATAAAAACAAAACTGCATAGAGAAATTGGAAAAAGAGAAAGTGGAATTGAAAAGGAAGAAAAAAAAATGAAAAAATCCACCCACAAGAAAAAAAAAACGTGAATAAGAGGGTAAGAAAAGAATGTAATAAGGAAGGTGAATGGAAAAGAAACCTGAAAGCAGGTGTAAAATGAAAGAGAATATGAAAGAGAAGAAACAGAAAAATAGATAAGGAAAAGTTAAAGAACGATTGAAAAAAAAATGATATATAAGAAAAAAATAAAATAAAAGTGACATGAGAAAATTAAAGGCGGGAAAAACGAAACAAAAATAAATAAGGAAAAAAAATTGATGTAATCAATAAATGAAAGAATAAAGATGATATCTTTTAAAAAATAGGAAAGGCATGAAATAATTCGAAAAAGAAAGAGTGAGAAATATTCAGCTTGAATATATAAAAGAAAAAAATAACAAAGGATAGAGATACAGTTAAATAAACGAAAGGAGATAAAACGAAGAATAAAAAAATAACATAGAGAAATTCTACGCAAAAAAGAAAGAAACAACGAAAGAAAAAAGAAATATTAATAAATAAATAGGAAAGAAAGAGTTAAGAAAGAAGGAAAGAAAGAAAACGAAAGAACAAAAGAAAGAAAAAAGAAGAAAAATTAAAAACAAAATAAAGAAAGAAAGAAAGAAAAAAGAAAGTAAAGATAGAAAGCACGAAAGAAAGAAAAATTAAGAAAGAAAGCACGAAAGAAAGAAAAAAGGAAGACATTACGAAAATATAAAAGAAAATACAAACAAATATTTTAATGAAAATGAGGTGATGTAAAGAATGAAAACATCAAATATAAATTAAAAACATTAAAAAATGTGGCGGGAATGAAAGAGTGACGAACATAAACATGTTCGGATCAAATTAAACATGAGGAAGACGTAATATGTAGAAAATGAAGGCTCTTCATTGCAAGAGCAACAAAAGAAATTATGTTAGATGAAGTGTCTTCAACACGAAATGTCGGCAGGCTCTGTGGCGAGGGAGAAATTTACAGACAAATATCTGTCTGTTAAGGTTGGAAACAAAAACACAATAACAAGATTTAGGAGGAAATCTTTTCTTTTTTTTCTTTTTTTAAGTGCAATTCTGTCTGTGCAGCAATGGAAGTGAAGCGAGAGAGACAAAATGGAAATGACAGAAAAAATCAACTTATAATTTTTTTTTCTGAAAATCTTTAGAAGGCGAAATGAACTGGAAAAATGATCGAGTGCCTTTTCAGAAAAAAACAACAACTTGTAACTGGTAGCATCTAGTTGTTTTTTTTTTTTGCATATTGTATACATTTGGAATAAGTGCTCTCTTCTCATATATGTAAAAATCTCACACACACACACACACATATATATATATATATATATATATATATATATATATATATATATAAATGAGTTTACATATATATATATATATATATATATATATATATATATATAGATATAGATAGATAGATATATAGACAGATAGATCCATATATATATATATATATATATATATATATATATATATATATATATATGTGTGTGTGTGTGTGTCTGTGTGTCTGTGTAAATATATTTATATATATGTGTGATGGATATATATATGTATGGATGTATGAATATATATATATATATATATATATATATAGATAGATAGATAGATAGATAGATAGATAGATAGATAGATAGATAGATAGATAGATATAAATATAAACGAAAATGAAAGCATGAACATTACTGTATAACGAATGGGCGGTTGGCGAAACCCATTCTTCTTATATACTGTCCTTTCCACAAGCTTCTGTATGTCAGTCTTAGCTAAGTAAATATATATATATATATATATATATATATATATATATATATATAGATAGATAGATAGATAGATAGATAGATAGATAGATAGATCATTTTATGCTGAGCAAGGCAACAAACCCATTATGAATTAGGTCGTTACTGAATGTTCAACAATATAAGAAAAAGACAAACTTTAATGACCGGGAACAATAAAAGAAGAGGAATCAAGATGACAGTTGATAATGATTGACATTGCATTTAAATTTTTAAAGATCAAAATTAGCTTAAAATTAAGTAACCAAAGAAGAGTTACATGGGCGAAAAGCACACAAAAATGAAACTGTTAGCAAAAAGTTTCGGTTACATCCAGCCATTTGAATGATGATAGATTGCCAACAATCTTGTACTGCACCTAAATTCATAAATTCTGGTTGCAATAGAGAAATGTTCATCAAAACAATTCCAATGAAAATATTTATAGAAAAGTCACAGGAAAGGAAATTTACAGCAATTTAAATATGTCGCTTCGTATCTCTCGTTCGAACACACATTCTCTATATATATCTATTTTGTCAAGATGAATGGATATAAATACTATACAATCAATGGTATAAACATGTCTCTCAAATATGGACATTATTGCTTTACTAACTCATTAGAATGCACAGAAAAGTGTAACATTATCATGATTGACTTGCGTTGTGGTTGAATTTCTTTTGCCGGCGTTCAATTGCAGTTGATGAAACAAGAAAAATCTTTCCCTGTTTACTTTGAATTTTTCGAAACTACAGTTAGATTTATCTGCCTCTTCGTAGATAACAATTGCATACCCCAAATGTTATTAAATTTTTGTATCACAGATTTTACAAAATCTTTTGTCATTCTTTTATTTCAGGAACAGATCGAATATCGATTGTTATAAATGAATAATTGGAAAAAGTTTCATTGCCCGACAAGACCGACATGAATGATAACTGAGATTATAATTGAATTATGTAAGGGAAATTATATTCTTTTTCTGATTTTTGTGTTACATTCTTTGTTTAACAATTTATCAGCGAAAACCAGACGACTTTTTTCATAAATTAACCTTTGTTTATAAATTATTTACACGCTTGTGAGTACCTTAAGATAAAGGCTTTTATGTATAAACCTTAATTAGAATATACGATATAAATCTGAGTGAGAATATATATATATAAACATTTCACTGCGAGTAAGGCAATATAGTCACTGAGACGCAAGTGTTTACTAAGTGTTGAAAGTGTTATGCCAAAATATTCAGTGTCGAAAAGAGATATTAATAATAATAAAATAACCGGAATGTAGGCAGTAAGTAACGTAAAATAATGACATTATATTTACTTTTTTAAGGTAAAATTTGGAAAGCAAGAGTTTTCTAAGAAAAGTTCGAGAAAAGAAGCTGTTTACATAGAAATTACGGTTGCATCTATTATATTGACACTTTCAAAGCTCCATTTAAAGGATATATATGCTATAGAGTTGAATGAGTTGTTTCCCTTTTTATTTTTAATCCCACCGGACATTTTTGACGTATCTGTGGGGGACTGTTCCATACACGCTCATTTTAATAAGTATAAACATTACTTTTATTTTTCAGTTCTTCCTGAGAACCCAGATATTTCTCCACTATTTATTTTTGCTTTTCAAACAATATTTGGTCACCCGGCATGAATTGGTTGATCTATTTGAATCTTAAAATCAGTCTATACTTTCCTTAAGTAATTACATTGTATGTTCAAAGACAAATCATTTGCATAATTCCCAGAGGGTTACTCATTCATGTCGGCTTTTGTGCAAATTTAATATAAATTTATTTGAAGATTAGTAGTATCGATCTTGACTCAAGACAGTCGATATGTTCTCTTTTGCTGTGTTTTGTCAGTCTTCAGTTATTATTATTATTATTATTATTATTATTATTATTATTTGTATCATCATTATTAATAGTAGTAGTAGTAATGTTATCAAGCCTATTTGTACTAGTGGTCGCCTTACTTGTTCAATTTTAATTTGACGGAAGACTTCGCATCTTGGCCTATCGACATTCTCCGTGAAACTGAAATCAACCAGGCGTTAATATTTTCGAAAAAATGTCTGGTATCGCTATTGACAATTTTTACAGCGAATTGTAGACATTGACTTAGTCGCCTGTTCAACCGTCACGTTTAATTTATCTTTCAAGTAATCTCGGAAGACGTAAATGCGATATTCCAATCGCTGAATGAATGATGTGGGAAGAGACATTCAAGACAACTGACTTCAAGATGCTGCAGCGTCAGAGGCAAATATTGATTTCGGGTTGATATTTCAGTTTGCGCACATAATTTGCAAGTTTGATTTTATACATTTTGCTTTGAGCAGTTCCAATCATTGTCTGAATCAAAAGTAATATCGTATATTCAGTTGCAGTCTCTCTAGAAACCACAAAGAACGGCTACTACTGGAAAGGTTTGCATCAATCTTATGCATATATTTTTTTGACTATTGCTTTTTTCTCTGCTGATTTTAGAACAATGTTTCCATTGACAACTTCTACAGCCTCCCTGAATTCTCTTCCATTCTGAGACAGAGAGACTTCTTAATCCCATGGGTATTTCTTGAGTAGTACCTTCATTTTTTTTATAGTTTTCTATTTTTTTTTCTTTTAAGCACAGTTTTAGAAGATACGGTTTCTCGGAGTACGGATAATATATGTTCTATCATAGGCAGATGAGAGAAGAGAGATTTAAATTAAATTCACATAATTTTAACCATTCTTCGATTAAGGCAAAAGAAATTTAAAAATCAAGACGTTAAATTCAATCAAAGCCGACTGTTAAAACATTGCCAAAACTTAACCTCCGAAATAAACGAAACAAAAATTGATCATTTTGTATAACTTTGTCACAAGATATTTTGCAAGAATGATCAAGAGGTTGCACCGAATCAGACTTGATTCGTTCAGGTATACTGAAAACAACAAAAATGCTAATAAATATAAAAACGAAAATTTATCTTACATGCATATTACATTTTTTATATTGTTCAGATTACGAGAAACTGACTCTAAAATTTTACGTTGAAACTGAAAACTTCCAAAACTATTTCAAGCGCATTATCACAGATCACAAGCTGAAAGCCTATGTGAAAATAAACACACTAAGAAATATTTTCGATAACATATATATCAAACCCTATATGGAAACAGTAACATGTCTAGTGCAACTCTGGCTAAATAGTATTTTGATGATAGGACGTCTCGTAAAAAAATTAGAGGGCAGTAAAAAAATGGTGGTGTAATAAGAGAATTCTGTAATCATGAAGTAAGGGAGTCTCACAAAGAAAATCAGCTTGATAAAGACTGTAATAAATGGCGGGAAATAAGATGTGTTCATTGCAAACTGGCAAAGGCGAAAACTACGACTAAAGATGATTCATTCGGTAGTATTGTTGGCATAAATAATTCAAAATTGTTTACTATACATAGTAAATAATTCTGACATAATTTTTTTTTTTTTTTTTACTTCAATAGATATTTCAGACTTATTTCATGTGCATTATATTTAACACTGTTTTGACTGATAGAAATAGCGAAAATCATTTTTCATAAATTGGGTGTTGTATTAACCAATGAGAAAGTAACATAGGAAAACTTGATGTCGGGATTGTCGGTAATGTTCATCTATCCTCATTTGTGGCAGGAAATTCTTATAAGGAAGAAAATACTTGAGGTAAATAAAATGTTGTCCGAAACTGAAAATATAATTCGTACGATTTATAATGAGGAAAGAAGACTTGGAGAAACTAACAACCGTAAGAAAAATCGAAGTCAACAGGCAAAAACTGCGTAAATTATTTGGGAAAATCTGTGCAATAATTATCAGCAAGCATCAGAGAAGTCAAAACTGAGAATGTATTGCTGAAAGCAAGAAACATTTT